AAAAAAAAAAAAACCTCAATACATTTAAAGCAAGGAAGTAAAGTACGTGAGCCTTTCTCCTATAGCCACAGTATGTTTGGCCTTGTTTTTTAAAAGCCATAGCTGTGATCCCAATAGTCCAAGGAGTTCTACAGGGAGTTGAAAAAAAAAAACACCTGATTTTAAAATATTGACATTTCACTCTTATTTCTCCCTCCAGCAAGAACTGCCAAGAGCCTATCTGCTAAACAGAACTCTATAATAATTTTAAACGAACACAGAAATACCATTAAGTTCTTACACAGACTACCCTTAATGACTCATAATTCCTTCAAGCGATTGTTTCAAGAAATTCTAGTGACCGTCACTAATCAGATTTTATACTTGATTTTAGCCAAAAGGCCTAGAAGCGATCACTAAGGTTATCTAGAGAAACATCTTTAGAAATCTATGTTGGCATTCTCAGATGCTTAGGCACATCCACTGAAAGCCTGCTGCCCACGCACAGCACCTCCAAGCAAATCCTCAAGCACAGCTCTGGCTATGTTGCCCTTACTTCATAATAGTGACTGCTCCTGAGGACACGGCCTTTACTTTGAAGATAACGCTTCTAATATTTCAGAATGTAGTGTCTCATTTGTAGTGGGGCCTTTGATTTCCTAGTCTGCTATTTACTAAAGAGTTTATCATTCAGAAATGCTGAATTACATCAATTTTCAGTCAAGTGAGATTATGTATTTTCACTATTTACTGATCATTCCTATGAACAAATAAATGTACTCATGAAGAAAACACTAGAAACTTCTTTCCCTCCCCCACCTTTTACAGTAAAACTCCTAACTTTAGCCTGCATCAAAATTCCTCCTCAGGGTCATAATCCTCTTTAACTGAGGGGGTGTCTGACTCACTGTCTCCCCTCATTCTCATTCCTTGGCAGATCCGGCTGCCTCCATATTTCATACTGTCCTTACCAAGTGACCACTCCAAATGAATGCATAGCCAGATTTTAAAATGTAAGTATAACCTGATCATTCCTTTGCCTAAAATTCTCCATTTGTCTTTTTCCCCTAGATACCAATCTGTACGACCTCAAACTCATTTTCATCAACTACTAGAGCACTTTCTACAGTAGCCTACAAGAGAGCTCCCTTCACAACTTGTATCCCCACTGCATCCCCTTTATAAGGTTTAATTTTTCTTCATGGCACTGATCCCACTGCCACCCCCATCCAGACGGCAAGCAGCAGTTTCAATTACCTCATGATCATTGTCCTGTTTTCAAAAAAAAGTTTTTTTAAGATTCTTAAAAAGGATGTGTTCAGGTTCTATGTTTAGTAAGTCAGATTCTGGAATCTAGTTCATCTGGCCGGCTTCCTAGAAAGGGGCAAAATACTTTATCTTCATTAGAAGTCACTGTTCTGTTGACAACTACCAGTAAACCTATGCTCTTCGAAGTCAAGCAACATAACAGTACCAGCTAGGGGGCTTGTGTCATCTCCCTAATATTAGTCTCTTTAATCCAGAGACTAAAGTCTGACTGACCACTATATTGTAAACCCCACAGATAGTCAAACAGAACATTTTCTTTAATCAATAATTCAAGTGGCATGACTTTTACCTTTAGCAGACCCCATTTTTTAATTGGGGGGGGGGCTCTTTTTGAGACAGGGTCTCCCTGTAGCCCCAGCTGGCCTGAAACTCACTATGTAGCCCCAGGCTAGCCTTGAACTCACAGAGATCTGCCTGCCTCTCCTCTGCCTCCCAGCCATAGTGGACCCCATATTTAAAGGCATATATGTTGAAGAAAAAATAAACTGAAAGGAACAATGCAGTATTTATTTTATGCTGTCGAAGCTGGCACGTTGTGAAGAAAGCTATAAAAGTTCCACATAAAACCTTTAAAGGAAATACATTTTTAAATAGTTTTACATATTAATTACTCTGGAAAGTTTCTGAACTCTATTAAGCAGCAGATCTCCTTTCTTGATGGTTTCTTGGTATTGCCAGTTCTTGCTATCAGGTCTATAAATAAATTTAAGAAAACAATGAATTATTTATCAGCCACATGACTCCATGACAAGAGCTGACCAATGCCTTACTTAAAGTAAGAATACCTGTTAGTTTCTACTATTTCATTCACTTTATCTATTTTGCAGTGTAGTCTCCCAGCAGCAATAAATCTGGACAGTTCCCTGATTTAGAAAACAGAAAACAAATATGGTTAGTCTCAAGAAGACTACATTTTTGTTTTACAGATAAAATTTCATTTCCCTCAAGCCTCACCTACTGCATATACTGTAGTGATGTCCTTGCTTTTTACTTTCTGACTTAAGTCATCTACCAGAATAAACCTAGCCCTAGGAAGTTCTGAGACCTCAATCAAGTAAAGCTACAAAAGTACTCAGAGAAAAAAACTTCAGGAAGTTAGAGGAATAAACTGATAGAACCATAAGCCCTGACCAATAGCAGCCACATTCAGTTTTACTGGAAAAAATGTCCTAACTCAGGGCTGGAGAGATGGCTCAGAGGTTAAGAGCCCTCAGTTGTTTGTTTTTTGGGGTATTTTTTTTTTAATATTCTATTTTTAGTAATTTTTTTTTAGTATTGATTTTTTTTTCTTGTGCATTTCATGTAATAGTTCTGAATCAAATTTAGACACCTTGCCCCCCATGGCCCCTCTCCCCCACCGGATTTCATGCATTCTGTCATATATGTTAAAAGTCCTATCCAGCGAAGCATTTGTACCATGTCTGCGGAGGTCAGAAGAGGGGGTTGGAGCCCCTGGAACTGGAGTTATGGACAGTTTTTAGCCACCGTGTGGGTCCTGGGAACTGAACCCAGGTCCTCTGGAAGAACAGCCAGTGTTCTTAACCAGTGAGCCATCTCTCCAGCCCCATACTCAAGTTATTAAAAGTAACTCCAGTTGGTCTTAGAACACAAATGAAAAACAAAACCTAACTTGGATCTATTCTCTGAATGATTTAAAGAATACTTACATGCAGTGGGTATTAAAGCCACTTTGTGGCTTCAGTGTATCTCCTGTGAAGTTGTGGTTGACTCTCACACTGCCCTTTTGCTTCTGTGTGTGTGTGTGGGGGGGGGTTGTCTGTCATCTCAGCTGTGGCAGAATGACTACTCTTGAGTCCAAGGCCAGCTAGACCCCACAGAACAAGAAAAAGACCCTGACACCAAAAAAGGAGAACTTGGCCCAAAGCCATACATTGTACTGTTTTGTTGCAGAATCAAACAAGGAAGCAGGCCAAGAGTATCAGTTGTTCACAAGTCACTCCTGCCAACTCATGAGAAGTGTGATGACTTATAGTGCTAACTGCCTTTGGAATTCAGAGCAGGTTATCAGGATTCAACAAAACCAGCAATCAGCCTTCTATTTTGCTAAGGATCATTTGAAAAACTAAATATGACTGCCATGCAGTTCAGATATCAGAATAAACCTTAACCTCAGACATGCCACATCTAAGGCAGACACAGCTCCTACTATGTAATATAGAGCACTTTTGTATCTCTGTAGACTTATTTCTATCTGAAATGATCTTTGGTATTGGTTTATTTACCTACCATCTTTCCTACAACAAAAGTATATAAGGAAAGACCTAGAATAACAGCAGACTTAAATAGCTCAGTTTGTTGAATCCATGATTCAGGTGCTCAGAGTTCACATTTGTTACCAGTTTGACCAGAATGACAGCTCCAACATAAAGCTTATAAGAACTTATACGAAATACAATTAAATATACGATAGAAAAGAGATCTGGGCAGCGGTATAATAGCTGCAGTGTGGTCCACAGCATAATGGAAGAGGACTACTGGTAGAGAAGCTCTTCTCCGTGGCTTTTCTCATCCCCCACTGGAAAGCAAATACTGAAGGCAGAGATGACAGACATGATTGTTAATACTTCAGAAAAAGTCTTGGTTTTTTTTTTTTTCCTTCCTTAAAACCAAGGGATGCAATGCAAATTCAGAAAATGGGGAAAAGCACACTTTAAAAGGCAGTTTTAATGCATACATTGCTAAACTTACTGGTCAATGAATTCCACACCCACGCCAAATGCTTCTGCCATATAGCCAAGGGTTAATGACCTATAGGACTCCAGCAGCTGGCTGTATGCATGAATTCTCATTTCTCTTACGTAGTATCGATAATGAGGAGCAAAAAGCCAGTCCTTTTTCATTTCCTGTTCCACAATTGCTACAATAAACAAGGTAACATTATCACTCTTCTTTCACTAAACAGCAACTAGAAATTGGTTTAGGAAAATGACAGTAGTAGGTTCTCCTCTAGGGTCTATGACCAAAGCTACAGGCAGTCATGGCTGCTGGGAGAGGACGAACCCATTTCTCCACGGATGAGCTCCCTGATGGGTTAAGCCAATCCCAAGTGGTCAATCCTAAACACATGTACATGCTAGCACCACTAAATGGACTGTTTATACACACACACACACACACACACACACACACACGTACGTACGTACGTACGTACGTACGTACGTACGTACGTACGTACGTACGTACGTACGTACGTACGTACGTACGTACGTACGTACGTACGTACGTACGTACGTACCAATAATAAAAGAGGAAGTCAGGTTATTGAGATAGACTGGAGGTGTGGGGGGTAGAAATGATGTAAATAAAGTACTCGTATGAAATTCTCAACAAAAAAACAAAATTGAGGCAACTTTGAGTCCCATGAAAAACAGAGTGAAGTCATCACTGCCCTTTCCTGTTATCCCAACAGCGAAGGAAGCAGTAGCAAGAATAGAGGCCAGCTGTGCTGTGCAACTGTCACACCCTAAGCATCACCAGCTACTAGACATCACCAAGCTCTAAAGGAATTTGTCTCCAGATGATTTGACATTCATGTACAAATATTTTAACCAGGGGAAACTCTATGTACCAGATTTTAAGTGAATTTCATTTACAACTGTAACAGAAACAAGATCAGAAACCAAGATCAGAAAGAGATACACACAAGCAGTAAAGACTGATGAAATCTACTACAAGAGATGCAAACAGTCTTACAAAATACTGTAAGGTTTCAGGACAAGTTATAAACTACAAGGCTTGCAGAACAGTAGAAGTAATAAGTTGGTAACAAAGTAACTGAACAGTAAGGTGTCCACAGGATACTGTGCAAATTGCTCAATACCAAGCTATCACTGCTCTGCATACTGAACTAAAATGCAAGACCATGTACCTAGCATGAGTCTGTAGAGAAAACAGAAGTGGCAGCATGACTAGGAGGCCCTCCACTGGCCTACAGTAGACAGGAAAGAGCTTCGAGGGGACAAGTCCCAAGGCAGGATCAGCATGGCAAAGCTCAGGGAATAGAAGATGCAGGAGACAGAGATACAAAGTGAAGAAGGGAATTAGACTTGAATAAGATAAAAATCCCAGGAAAAGCAACTGATTTGAGGGGTTGGTTTTTGTTTTTAGAAGTTGTTTTAGGGAAGGTGGAGAATACAGATCAAGCGAACTGGCATTATTCAAGTAGGCCTGCCCATCAGCAGGTGAAGAGCTCACAGGGTGTTCAAGCACAGGTTCAATGAAGACTTGAGGCTAGAACTAGCAATCTGGGGAGCACTCCTGAAAGATCAGGTAAGGGCAATCCAGAGCAGCTGGTCACTGCAAGATCTCAACTAGGAAAAGGAAGGTCCAACATAAAGAAGCATGTTACTGGGGAACCAAGAACAAAAGTGAGAAGTGAAGACCCTCCAATGTCAGTAAGACGGGGTGAGAAAAGCAACCTGGGATATATAGCATGAGGATCAAAGGTCACTAACCAAGATGGACAGTCTCACCAGCAGTAAAATACATAAGTCTGATAAAATTCTCCCTTCTCAGTCTGTTTAACGTTTTCTTAAAATGAGGGGACTTTCAAATGCTATATAAAATGAGAGAAGTATAAACGATGGTCCGTGTGAAGTGGTACAGTGTTTCTGGAGGGCAATGTAGTCAACAGGGATTAATCTTTGCAAAATTCAAGTTCTTGCAATCTATCTAAAAAATAAGTGGACAGAAGCATTGCATGTATATTCCAAACAGAATTACTTATTTTTTCTCCAGAGACAGTAAATTACGGCACATCGCATACTCTTGAAACAGGAAGTCCTTAAAATCACAACTAGAATTCTAAGAAGCTCCACTAGATTGAATATCAAGCACTTAGGACCATGACCACCACTTAGAAATTCTTGATTAAATGGCTATTTGTATAGTGACATGGAGAGCTTCTTCACATCATACTGTCAAGAGCGAATGCTCTCTGGAGAGCCAGTGATACGTGCCCACCCTACGTACAGTCATTACTTCCTATATGAATATGAAGGCCTCTGAAGGCATCCAAAAACATGCTAACAGCAGTTGCCTGAAGAGAAACAACCCTTGCTAACACCTGATAAGTAAAAGCCTTTTACTACCTTAAATGATATTGGTAGAAAATTCTCTTCAAATATAACTTTTTTTCTTTAGTTGTGCACAAACCACAGTCCTAGGAATATACTACAAAGCATTAAATACCTGGAAGCACTGTGTGAACATGTGTATGGATTTGGGGGCAGGGTGAGACACAGTGTGTTCACTTTTTTCAGTTTAATTAATTTCTAGAAATAATCACAATATCTGGAAAAGGATTCTACTTCCTATTTCACTTGAAGTATTTTAAAGCACATTAATCTGAATATTTAGATAATCTCACAAAACCTATTAAGCCCTACATGTCTCCCAAGTGCAAATAAGTGATAAGAAAAAGAATAACCCTGTCATCAAAGAAAAGGCTTCAACTTTATTATCTTCTGCATTTAAATATCTGGGAAATGTATAGGGTTAGTAAAACTAAAATCTTTCCTCCAGAACTATTTGAATAAAAGGACAGAGGTTGGGAAGACGTTAATACCTAACAAAAGTTACCATAGTCATATATAATTACCCCAGAATGGCTTCATTTTTCCCTGCAAAGACAGAATCATCATTTGTCATCCTTCCCATTTTTCACAAAGATCTATTTAGACAAATACTTTCTGAAATCTGTAGCATAATAGCAATATATTAATTTATTATAATTAATTTATTATATTATTTAGGGAAATATTTGGGAAGGACAACTTAAACTGATACAAGCTAATTCTTCTGTCATATTGATAATTTAGTCATTGGTAGCAAACTAAAAGGCCAGGAAAGAGTGTAGCCCAGAAAAAAGAAGTAAATTTATGTCAGTGGGCTCTATAAACTAGCTCTCAAGGAATATAACTAGTTTCCACAGTATGTTCTCAACCCACCCACCCTAGTCACTGCATAAAAAACAAATCATCACTGAACTCAAGGCTTATTTAATCTCAGTGAAAAAAGGAGATTCAGATTCAGAGTTCCCCAATGTCCTTCACCATACAGCCTAAGGAGAAAACTGTCTGCTCAGGCTTGCTTTACCTCCTTAAAGACTCTAAACCAGGGTTGCAACTCCCATAATGGGCCAGAAAACAAATATTTTGAGGCTTAGCAACCACATAGTTCTTTGTCATACATTCTTCTGTAGTCTTAAAATGGCGCTTAAAAAATACAAAAACCAGCTGGGCGTCGTGGCGCATGCCTTTAATCCCAGCACTTGGGAGGCACAGGCAGGCGGATCTCTGTGAGTTCAAGGCCAGCCAGGTCTACATCGTGAGTTCCCAGACAGCTGGGGCTACAGGTCTCAAAAAGACTCCCCCCCCCCCCGCAAAAAAAATAAAAATAAAACAAAAAAAACCTGGGCCAGTGAGATGGCTCAGCAGGTGAAGGCACCTATCGCCAAGCCTCAGCACCCTGAGCACAATCCCTAGAACCCGCATGGTGGAGGAGAAAACCAACTCCTGAAAGCTGCCCTCATCTTCACCTGTGTACCATGGTGCACACACACAACACAAAATGTTTATAAATACATATAAAAAATCATTCTTAAAATCTGAGATATAAAATAAAACAGGCCATGTTGGCTGACCTTCCTCTAAAAAGAAAATTATTACAGATCTTCAGTTACTAGCCCACTGCATTTCTTGTATGTGAAAACCCAGTTTTGTCCCCTTACCTAATGACTGGAAGAAAACAGAGTAACGGCATTCATAGAGTGAAAACAGATACTGCCGAACTGCTGGCAGGCTGTGTAGCACTTCAAGAATCTCTGCTCCTTTAATGACCTGGGTATTAAAAACACCAAAATAAACTTATGTTTTAATGATTTGGAGTATTTAAATTAGAAAAGCATGAAAGAGTTCAAATTATCAGTATTAAAGCTTCAATCTTTACCTTTTCCCTGAGATCTGGTCTTTCTAAGGCAATCATGCTGACATAGACAGTGTAAGTCACAAACGTTTTGTAATCCATGAGCTCATAGGAGGTAAATGTTGAAACTGTGTCAAGAAAGAGCTCAGCTGCCTGTTTGAAGTCTCGAATAGCCACACAGTAAAGACCCTGATACACTTTTAAGCGGTTTCTCCTGTCCCAGTCTCCTCCTTCTTCTATTAGGCTAGAAAATAAAAACAAGGTCATAATAAACAGATAATGCTACTTCTTACAGATCTTTTTAAAGAAAAGCTTTAAACAAAAGGAAATATCTAAACAAAGTATCTCATTCATTAATACATCAATTATTTGACCCAAATCCACAATTGTAAACAAAACAGGAAAGCTTGTACCTATCAATTACTCATTAATAGCATCATAGTTTGAAGGAACTATATCCCCATGGCTGACAAGTACCTTTTGGCCTTTTCTGTGTTTCGAGTGATGAGATCATTATCCATATAAAAGAGACCAATGCGAAGGAGATAGAATACAATATCTAGTCGATGACCCAGGGCCACAGTCTTATCATATGTCTTGCGAAAGGCTGTGAGAGCTCCTTCCTATCAAGAAATTCAAAACCAAAAATGAAAAAAGTATCTAAGTTGACAAAGCCATCTGAGTTTTTCTACAGAGTTGTTGAGGGGGTAAAAGTAGAGCAGAGCTGAAACAAGATGGCAACACAGTGATTGTTGTGACTGGGTGTAAGTTCGGAGGGGTTGGCTATATTGCCCCTTCTGTTTGGAGAAAGTGCAGAAAATGCGTAGCATATACTTCTTTTCTGGAAAACGATGTAAGAAAACCATTGATAATATACAACAGTGTTGTTTCAGTGTTTTCCTCCATTACAACGACAGTACCCACTTCAGAGCTAGTTCACTATAAGTCATGTGGCTTTAAAAAAAAAACTTTTAAGATTTTTATATGTGTAAGTGTTTTGTCCATATGAACGTTAAGTTCATCAGATGCATGCCTGTTGCCTGCAGAGGCCAGAAGAGGGTATCAGATCTGCTGGAACTGGAGTTACAGATGGCTGTAGGCCACCATGTGGGTGCTGGGAACTGAACCCAGGCCTTCTGCAAGAGCAGCCAGAGCTCTTAACAACTGAGCCATCTCTCCAGCCCCCCAAATTACTCATGTCACTGATTATTAAAATACAACTGCCTATATACACACAAAATTTCATCTCAAAGAATTGTGAAATAAAATGGTACGGTTGCTTTTACAAGGAACACTGATAAAATCGCTTGTTTATACTTGGTAGTTTTCAGAACATGACTGGCTAGTTTAAGTGGTTATTAGTTTATGCTTCATAAATTTACAAAAGGGACTGTCAAAGCAGCAACAGGTGCACCAACCCAGATATGGATATGTAAATACTACTCCTCACTAAAAGGAACCAGGGATGTAAGAGAAGTGAATGATTCCAAACCAGGGGTGAAAAGTAAAATAACCGGTGAGTTTATGCCATCTTCTGTCAGTCAACAAGGATGATCAAGATCACGTGAACAGGGCAATGACATTGTCTTAAAGGAACATCCACTAACAAATGTGCAACAAACTAGACATCATAAAAAATGTCAATGATAAATATTAACACAATGACTAACAACCCACTCAGTGCACTAAGTACTTGGTAAGAATCAGAATATAAAAACAATCTGGAAGCATGCTGCTTTATAAACAGATAGCTAGTATGAGAATTTAACTCTTATCAATCTGATGTCTATTTAGCCATGTTCTGGTCAGATTTCGGGTCTGAGGCTCAAACCTTCAAATTTCTCATTCACATAAAATCCAAACCATATACACACTTTTAAGTTTCTCTGTATTTTCAGTTTTTTACAATGACCACGTACTAAATTTATAATCAAAAGAAAAAAAATTTTCAATTGAAATTCCACAGCTCATCATTGAAGCACTTCCTCTGTGCCCATGCCATTCTAAATCTTTTGCTTTTTCAATCATTAAGTAGAAACTATCACTCTCCCTATTTTACAGATGAGAAAACTGAGGGTTCAGTAAATGATTACTCAGGCTGGAAATAAAACCCAAGCAATCTGATCCAAGAGCTTGCACTATTTTTTATACTGAAACTATGACATGTTACAGTCATAGTATACTACTAAAAATTAAGAACACTGAAGATCCAGCCTCTTAGTATCACACAACTATGAAATTGAAAGTTTTTAGGATTCAATAGCAGGATTATGTAGAACTGGCCACCCAGTAAAGTGAAATGTTCATTGTCCCAGCAACTCGGTCTCACAGACTCATCTGTATCCTAAAGAAACACTAGTTACACAAAGAGACGTGTGTGAACATGTTTTTCACAGCAGCAATTTAAGAAAGAACAGTTTTAACAGCTAAAGCATAAACAAAACAACATGCATGTCGACAACGGCTGGAAGGACAAACTGGTACATTCTACAGTGGATTGGCTAGACAGGAATTAACTAGAACCAAGCTGTGTGGACAATAACTTGTAAAGGCCTCAGATGCAATGCTGATGAGGATGGCCGGGAGTACCTGAATACATTATGATCCCAGGCCTGGAAAAACAGAAATGTTTATTACTCGTTTTCTCAGGACACATGCGCCTATGTAGATGGCACTGAAAGAACTAAAATGCTTCTTCTCTCTGGGGGTCTACGGAAGAAAAAAACTACCTGCGCTACCTACCTCTTAGATCCTTGCAATGAAAATATTACTAGTGTAAATTTTTTAGATGCTACAACAAATGATTGGCACCAAGTAAGAAAAGTGAAGTGCTTCCGGATGACCCTAATTTTGTCAGAGTAGTGAATGCCTGCTTGTAAGACACAGAGATGAAGAACACACCCGCGGCTGTTTCCAGCAGGGAATGAGAACTGTAAGACACCCACTGACGCAGCTTGTAAGGACTCACCAGCACGGATAAACATGATTATCCTGTTCTAAAAGTTAAGTTCATTTATTCAGCGAGGTGCTCCTCACCTGCATTCGGCCCCAACATCAGCCTGCTGACTGCAGAGAGGGGAAAGCAATGTCCACTCACCTTGTCACCTATCAGACAGAGGTACTCTGCTTTCGCCATCATTGCGTCTCGAATCTCACTCTCTCCCAGGTTCTTCTCCGCATCGTCCAGCTCTTCATCCAAACGTTTCAGCTCTTCTTCGTTTGCCTTCTTCATTTTACTGAGCAGGTCCATGTCCATCTGCCAGTCGAGGGATTTGCACAAGGCTTCATAATAAGGAGCCATATCTGCAAGTGGGAAAGCGTGACCTTGAAGTCACGGGTCGGGGTCTGCCTGCTTCCTCCCTTCCTCCCCTCCACCGCACCCAACCCCGACCCCGCCAGTCGGCCCCACTCCCACTGGGCGCGAGAGCACAGCTCCGGGGGAGGCCTGCACGAAGGCCGGCCTCCATTAGTTTGCTCTTGCCGGCCAAAGGAATCTTCCCGTCGGGACAGACGTGCACTGGTAGAAACGCGGCCCAGACCCTTCACCGGGACGCGCAGCAGCGACAGGCACAGGCTGTCCCGCCGCGGCCCCACGGAGGCAGAGCCCCTCGGCCAAGGCGGGGTCCCACAATGAAAAGCACTCTCGGGAGACACCCGGCCGGCCGTGGGGACCCCGCGGGAGGGACTGCCGGGCAGCGCTGGCCGTCCCCCACAGGCCCGCAGCCGCCCAGCCTAGGCCGCTGACTCGGCGGCGCGGCCTCACTGTTTTCGCGGACGGCCGCCATCAGCTCTTCGCGCACCGCCGCGTCCGCGCGGTGCTCGGGCAGGCTGAGCAGGAAGCGCAGCTGGGCGATACGCAGGTCGGGGTTCTTGGGCAAACCCTCCTCCTCCAGGTTCTCCAGCGGCATGGTGGCGGCGGAGCTGCGACCTGAGGGGAACCGAGAGCCGCCCGGCCCCAGCAGCGGAAGTCGGAGTACTCAGTGAAAGCGCCCCGTAGCCTCCAGCCTGACTTCCGGCCGGGCTTCGGCCGCCGCCTGCAGCGCCCCCTGCTGGACGCCAGCGGGAGTGCCTGGCGCGGTCTGAGCGCTGCGCCCCCGTGTGTTCACACGCAGCTTTCCACATCCCAAGTTGTATTTCTTCTCAGTTCTCTCTGGTTTTTAAGCGATTTTACTTTCGTTACATTTGCAACTGGCAGGATCTTGAAATCCTTTAAAATTTGAAAATATAATACAGATTACAGTAACAATAAAAGCAAGCACAAAGTTTTGCCAGATCCTGTTATTTTAATCTTCTTAAGGCTAGGAGGAATAATGTTGATAAAGTTTGCAGATGGAGAAATGGGACTTAGATCATGATCATCCAAGGTCGTGTGACACCTGTGATGGCAGGGTCCGAAGCAAAACCCTTTCTATACTTCAAAATCTACATTATTCCCTTTGTTCTGAGGAAATGGCACCCCAAATTTAAGTTTTAATTCAGCAGAATGATCTTTCTTTTTTTTTTCTTTCTTTTTCTTTTTTCTTTTTCTTTTTTTTTTACATTTTACTTATTTGTGTGTGCACTTGAAGACTCACTTGTGAGAATCAATTCTTTTCTTCCATCATGTGGATTCTGGGGATCCAACTCAGGCCATCAGACTTGGCAACAAATGCCCTTGCCTGCTGAGCACTTCCCTAGGCCCAATATTATCTTCTTCACATGCAGATTAATTACATGTAGGCATTTTCAGCTTCCATTTGTTCATGTTGACGTGAGTCTTCAGAATGGGTAGTGGTTACATAAAATTCCACCTGATGGATTCACTACCATACATTTTCATTCTTCCCTGCGATTAGAGATGACTCTAAGTTGGCCACGATTTTAGTTTGTGAGCACACAACAGAAATGAAGAACACTGTATACATAGATCATTTCATATTTTACGATCTTTCCTTAGCATAAATTCCTATGCAGAAATAATGACAAATAGCTTTATAACTTTTTGAATATTTACTGTCAAATTGTTTTCCAAAAGACTTGAATTAAGTCACACAGCCATGGTGGCACTGCTGACGAGAAGACCCATGCTGACAGTTTTAATTTCCTGGACTATTGGCCAGGGCAACCTTCCTGAAGTGAGAGTTGCTAAATACCAGCACTGGGACTGAGGGACTCTGAGGCCATGAACTGGAATAAGCATTCTCATCTAATCTTCAGATACAAGACTGTGTGGTCCACACAAAGACCTTGCCACTTGCATGTCATGAAACCACTTGAGGTGGCTGAGACATAAGAAGTGGAAGCTGAAACTGTACACTGAGTAGAGGAGGGGTATTGGACTACCTTGTGGGCCACCCGACACATGCCAGCCTAAAGCACATCCTCTAGGATCTGCCTCGGGAGACTCTGACCCATAGGGATCTAGAGCCAGAGATTTCATCTCAGATGTTGAATCTCACATCATAGACTTCTATAAGAACTTTACCTTTGAACACAAGCTGAATACCTTCTGTGGCAGGCCTCTTATGCTGCCCTAAAACTCTTCTGGGTCCTGAAGCATGATGCCTCATGGAGAACGTATGGAGCCAGGAATCACACTCTGTTTAATGGTTATCAGATGTCCGCCTTTTGTGAGAGAAGAATCCAAAGAGCTGCTAAAATAAGTGATGAAAGGCATTCTGCTTTATGTAACTAGATAGTTAAAGCTGTATATGGAAACTGATCCTCAGTTCACTCGGAGATGTGTTATAGAGAACATACTCAGGCGTTCATGGATGAACATGGGCTAGGAGGGACCACAGCTCCCGACTATAGGGACCTTCAAAAGACTGGGTTCATATTTGCATGGAATATGAATAATACTATATCCAGAATCCATTAATATTTAGGAAAATTCATGAAGCCTTGATTCTGGGTTATAAGAAACTTTAGTGAATGACCCAACCTTCAGCAGATGCCACTAAGAAACCAATAAAAATGAATCTGCCTAGGGTCACTGTCTACCTGAAGACATCAACTTTGGTGATCCTGTCTTTTCCACATTTACCTTGTTGTGTAAGTCTGAAATTCAGAGATTTAAGGGAACCAGAAGTCAGTAGAAAAGTCCTCAGCACAGCCAGTGAGTTTAGACCTACTTTACAAGGTCTAAACCCTCAGAAGAGGCCTGCAGTATGGTCCATGGCCTCCTTTCCCCATAGGACCAGCAAAAGTAGTGAAGACCTGGATGGAGCCAATTTCCTCCAAGGTGTGTGTGTCGGTCAGCTTCTGTCACTGTGATAAAACACCTGGAGGAAAAAAAATCTTAAAAGTAGGAAGTATTTATTGTGGCCTGTGCCAAGGCATGCCTTCAAAGGAATGTTCCTAGTGACTCAATGCCTCTGTACTAGGAACTCAAGAGATTAGCACACTGACCGAGTTAGTGCCCTGTGACTCAGTCATTCTCAACAGCACCAGCTGCTGGGGACCAAGCCTTTAACACAGGAGTTTTCATAGAACTTTTCATATCCAAACTACAATAGAGTAACTACCAAAAGCAGTGCCTTCATACTAGGGATCCTAATAATGTGACCTCAGCCCCTCTCTCTGGCAAGGGGCCATGAGTAGCTATAGCCATTCAGGGATTTCTCAGCTTTATCCTAAGACACTTAGGTTTCTTGCTTGCCAGAAAGACTAGGAATGAAAAAAGAAATATGCGCCTAAAGAATGGTGCATAGTTGAGGCAGGGATAAAACCATTTTTTAATTTTTTACTTATTGTTTTTATTTTATGTGTATGCGTGTATTGCCTGCATGTAGGTAAGTGCACCCATATCATGCAGTACCCGCAGAGGATGGAAGAGCCTGTTGGATCCCCTGGAACTGGAGTTACGGACAGTTGTTAGCTGCCATGTGAGTGCTGGGATTCAAACTTGGGTCTTCCGTAAGAACAGTCAGTGTTCTTAACCACTGCACTCTCTCCAGCCCCCAAAACCAAAGACTTTAAAAAAAAATAGGTATCAAGTCTCCTTCCATACATCTACATGGAATACAATAGTCCTGGGCTCCATCGATTCCTATGAAATGAGGAAGATCAGCAGGTGTACAGGTAGAGCCTGCTTGCTGCATAATGGCATGCGTAGTCAGGGAAGTCCGTGCAGAAGAGGAGAGAGGAGTGCAGAAAGCCAGGGCCTTCTCCATATGTACCAGTTCAAGTCAAGAAGGTATTTGGCATCTCCATAGCATTCAGACACAAAACTAGCTGTTGTAGTTCATTTTAAAGGATGACCTGGTGGTTCCAGGAAGACAAGAGGAGAGGATAGTAGGTCCTAGCTGCCGGCCAAACACTGTGCCCTCATGTGGAGAAACTGAGGCACATCTTCTGTCCCTGCTATTCTCTCATGCTTCTGTGGAAGGGAATGATTCTGTAGAAACATTAATATGGAAATATTCAGCATCTTATTTTCTGGGTGTGTTTTAATAGATGGATTAAGGGTGTGGTTTCTTTTGGTTTTCTGATTTTTCTTTTCTTTTCTTTTCTTTTTTTTTTTTTTTTTTTTGAGACAAGGTCTTCCTGTAGCCCGAGCCTGCCTGGAACTTGTGAGGCTGGCTTTGATCTCACCAAGATCCACCCACCTCTGCCTCCTGAGTACTGGGATAAAAGATGTGAGCCCCCACACGTGGCCTTGTATGGCTTCTTTATAGAGCACTGGGTTGTCACTTCCTTGAGCCAATTTCATAGCAATAACACTAATAACCTCAAATAAAGATAATTTTAACACCATTTTCTATACAGTTTTGGTTAACTTTAGCCACAAATTACCTTTAAAAAGACTAGGAAAAGCTGGGCATGGTGGCACACTTTTAATCCCAGCATTCGGGAAGCAGAGGCAAGTGGATCTCTGAGATCAAAGCCAGCTGGTCTAGAGTGTTTCAGGTCAGCTGGGGTTACAGGAAAACTGTCTCAAAACGACCAAAAACAAAAACAAAAAAAGAGTCAAGGAAATTAGACCTGAAGGAGAGTAGATAGTGTGTCAGAAGGCAGAACTAGAGCTACCTATGAACTTGCTTTCATTTGTTGCAGCCTGTGGAACCCAACGGGCTGGGCATCCTTTAGGACTGGCTATGTTGTGTCTCTTAAATGGATAATTCAGTCACCTGAGAGACGAGAGAGCCAGCCTCATCGAGGAGTAGTTTTCAGTGCTCCCTGTAAATTAATTTTTTTTGCAGCACCATGTTTCCTGTGTAAGTAGGACATAAATCTGAAGGATGAACTAATTCAAATGTGAAAGAAAAATAAATACTTAAGATACAAGGAACCTTTCTAAAGGATGTTGCCTTGAAAGATCTTTGGGGAGCAAATTTCTTGGTGTTACAGGTTTTGTTTTTTTTTTTCTATCAGAACTTGACAATCAACACAGAGTTTCTGTCCACCCATCAAAAAGTTTCATCATTTGTGCTGGTGTTACAGGTTTAAGAGGAGTTGTTTCATAACTGAACCAGGGGATGGTACCTGAAAATGCCCCTCCCTGTACCCCTCCTGCCTATGCCATATTCTTATGAACCATATAGTACCTGTAGTATATCTTCAAGAAGAATACAATTGTGTTAGAATGAGGAACTCCTTCCCATATCCCAAACATTTTTATTAGTACATAATTAATTTATCCAAGCAGTATTATGTGTTTATATGTGTGTATGTATGTGGGTGCATAATCATGTGGGTGCATGGGGGGGGCTGCATATGAATGTGAAGGCTGGAGGCCAGCTTCACATGTTGTTCCTCAGGAACCATCCACCATGTTTTCAAGTCTCTCATTGGTCTGGAGATCACAAATTAGGCTAAGCTATGTAGACCCATGGGCCCTGGAATCTGCCTGTCTCTGCCTCTTCAGCATTGAGATTACAAGTGTTTGTATCATGCCTGACTTTTTATGAGAATCCCAGGTGGGGAGCAGGCTTGGAATATAAATACTTTAAGCATGGCCTTATGATTCTCTAAATTTGATCGGTTTCTGTTGTAATATCTCCCTTTTTCTCTCTGATTTTATTAGTTTGCATCCTTTTCACTTTGGGGGTTTAATTTGGCTGAAGATTTGTCAATTTTCTTAATCTTTTCCAAGAACTCTCTGTTTCATTGTT